TCTACTGCGTCAGACTGATGCAGGAGAGTTCAGGGGAAAAGAGGTAAAGTGAGGCACACATGTGTGCGTGTGTGTGTCTGTGTGTGCTTTAAAGAGAAGAGCACCTCAAGGTGATGAGGACTGGGTAGAGGGAAGGCTTGTTGAGTGAAGAAATAAATGAATGAATGAACAAATGAATGAACAAAATGCCTGGCCTGCAGTTTCCTCTGCATCCTTCTTGGCACCACATGGAGACAAGCCTTCTCCCTGAACCGGGTGATGATGGACAGCCTTTACTACTTAGTCTCCATCATGGTCATACCCTGCAGTACCCCCTGAACAGGCCACCCCCTCCCTCCCTTATAGAACATTGAAAAGGCAAAACCTGAGGCTTACTGGAAAATCTTCGGTCTGCATCATTTGTTCTTTAGGTACCATGGTCACGACCCTGGCTGGGGGGAGGAAGGCTGTGCAGACTTGTATAACCAGACATGGAAACTACAAAGTGCTCAAATGGAATACCATACAATGAAGTGTGGGACTGAGGCCCTCAGCAGCTGGGTGGCCAGAGTGAACTGTTTGCAAAGAGGGTGCAGTCACTGCCGGCATTGCCGCTGGCACAGCTCTTCCGATTGTGACTCTCCAGCACCGCCACCAAGAGGGGAGTTTCCTTTGCCATCCTATGACTCTGGGCTTGGTTGTGTGACTTGCTTTGGCCAAAGGGATATTAGCAAATGGAAGAAAAGCAGAAGTTTGAAAAGAGCTTGCACATAGGGCTTTGCCCATGTGGGGCTCTTGTTTTTTTTTTTAAATTTTGGCCAGAAAATTACAACCATGGGAAGGGCCCCGTTTGAACCCGGCCCAAATTGCTGGCCCATCAAATCATGAGCAAATAAAATGGTTGTCACATTAAGCCACCAGGTAGTTTGTTATGCAACAATGGATAACTGATACAGAGGTCTTAAGCAAGTCATTTACTTCTCCGTGCCTCAATGTCTTCATCTGTAAAATGTGTGAGCATTGATTAAATAGTATATATAAAGTACCTAACAGAGTGCATGACACATTATAAGGACTCATTAAACAGCCACAGTTGTTAAGATTCTGCTTATTTTGCCAGTAGAGAGAAGAGGGTCCAACGGGGTGATGGGACTGGGCCGAGCTGGCGGGTGGTACAGCAGGAATTCAGACCCAGACCTATCTGTGATTAGTTTGCACTGCTGGGATGTCATATCGCCTCCCCGCTGAGAATTCCTTCTCTTCCTCTGTCCCCTCTCCTTCTTTAAGTTTTACCCACCTAAAGGCACTGAGATCAAAGATCACCCTGAGACACAGAAGCCCACCTGGACTGTCATTTTTTTCTCCTTTTTTTATTCCAGGTTAATATGAGGGTACATATAATTAGGTTACATTATTGGCATTTTTAAGGTAAAGTCCAAAGTCTGAGTTGTAGTTGAGTCCTTCACCCAGGAAGCGTGCCATCCATTCCTACATTGTACTCAATAGGTAAGACATTAACCGAGCTCCCTCCTCCTCCCCCTTCCTGAATTTAATTGTGTTTTTCTCCTGTGTGGGCCTAAGGTAGTTAATCCACTAGTTTCAGAATAGCACTGAGTGTGTGGAATGCTCACTTTTCCATTCTTGTGATACTTAAGAGACTGTTCTCCAAATCCATCCAGGTAAACACAAAAGATAAAAAGTCTCCATCTTTTTTAAAGACTGAACAGTATTCCATGGTTCACATACATCACAGTTTATTAATCGACTCCTGGGTTGATGGGTGTGGAGTGTCACTTTTCTGCATCCACCTCATTTCCTGTCCTCCCTCCCTCCTTCCTCCTCGCAACCACCCAGCCTCTCACCCACGCTCACTCCCCTGGACAGGTATGCACAGATCACTTCCTGGGTGCAGCGTGAGGAAGCAGGGCCAGTCCCGCAGAGCTCATGGGCAAGGTGGCTCCCCGGCAGGCCCCACCCCACCCCCATGTCCAGCACATGGAGGCCTGTCTTGGCCTGTGTCCTCAGTTAACACACTACTCTCACCTCTCTGCCCAGATTCAAAACTCCTTGCTAGCAAACCAGTTCCTTTCCTGTATTCACCCTGCCCACTTTCCCTCCTTCGCTCCTGCAGGCACCCAGGGAGCCCCAGAAGCATAAGGCTCCACCAGAAAGGAACTCTGCAGTGTTCACAATTCCCCTCTGTGCCCTAGTGCAGTGTGGGGGCCACAGCAGCTGGCCTCAAAAGCTTGAATTTAACTGAATTTCTGGGTAACTACTGAAGACTCAGTGTGCAGTCAACAAATGATCTTGTGGGGGAGGTGTTTTTGACACCCTGAGGCTCCCACACCTCCATATGCAGCAGGAGGAGAGAAAAGGAAAGAGTTGGGGGCGGAGGTGCAGGGCCCCTCCCTCTCCACAGCTCCCAGCCCCACCCTGGCTGCTTGGGCCCTGCAAGGCAGGCCTCCTCCTGCGGCCTGGCCTACATGTCTGACACCAGTGGTGTCTCTGCCCAGCTGCCTTGACCTGCAGCCAGCACAGGCAGATGTGCGTGGAGCACCTGCTGGATTCAGGCCACTGTGGTGCTTGCACACCCATGTGGGGGACACAGATACCACCATCCTCTAATCTCTGACAACTACCTGGCCCTATCTGGTCCACAAATGGTGGAAAGATTCTCAGCCCCATTTTTCACAGGTGCAACTGAGAGGTGAAGGAACTTGCCAGAGGCCACATAGTTGGGTTGGAATTGAGGTTTGGGGCCTTTGATGCAGAGTTTCTCAGCTAAGACCTGACCCGGAGGGAGCATACACTCCAACGGGGAGACAGGACGTGGACATACAAGAGATTTTTGTACAAGTGCCAAGGGAACCCAAAGCCCAGAGGTCACGGCTTCTGAAGGCAGTAGGGTTTGGTGTGAGTCTCAGAAATGAGCAAACAAGCAGAGGCAGGAGGGCAGCGAGGGGCACGGGGAACTGCAGGGGGAAAGAAGCTGAGGGACGGTGTTTGGTGTGAGCAGGGGGCCCCAAGAATGGGAGCCCAGCGGGAGGTCAGAGAAACGTTAGAGACCTAGGTAGGGGTGGCGGGGGGGTCCTGGGCTGTGGAGCTCAGGTGTTTGGATGTTGTGGAGGAAAATGATATCTTTAAAGAGGGGGCCTGAGGAACCCAGACTGGGGAACAGCCAGTCTAGCCCCGTCCTCTGCAGAACTCTGAGTAGGACAGTCCCAGCCGGTTATGAGGTTATGAGCCTTGCACGTTTAGCACCCTCCCTCCCCCCACGAGAGCATATACCGCAGCCTACTCCACACTCCAGGAGGTGCTAGTAAGAATGCTCATGACACAAAAGGAATAATAAATCTTCTGATACACCATGCCCTGTGTCTTCTTTGTTCTAAGAACACTTTACACATGGGAGCTCCTTCAATTCTCACAGGAGTGGGCGATGGGTATGGTTAGTTAGTCCTACGTGGACTTGAACCCAGACCTCTGGCTTCAAAGCCTGTGCTTTAGGCCAGGAGGCTGTTCAGGCCTCCAGTGGGCAGCTGAAACAAAGCCACATGTATCCTCAAGCACCAATTCTTCCCTTAAGAATGACCGAACTGGCTCGGCGCCTATAGCTCAACCGGCTAAGGCGCCAGCCACGTACACCTAAGGTGGCGGGTTCAAATCCCCAGCCCGGACCCGCCAAAAAAACAACAATGACGGCTGCAACCAAAAAATAGCCGGGCGTTGTGGCGGGTGCCTGTGGTCCCAGCTACTTGGGAGGCGGAGGCAGAAGACTCGCTTGAGCCCAGGAGTTGAAGGTTGCTGTGAGCTGTAATGCCACAGCACTCTACCCAGGGGGACAGCTTGAGGCTCTGTCTCAAAAAAAAAAAAAAAGAATGACCGAACTAAAAAGTATCCACAGGCGCGGTTTTGCTCCTTAATTTGGAATCACAGAATTGCAAGTTTCAACCTTCATCTAGGCACCCCCAGCCCAGTTTTACTTGTCCAAAGGCCCACAGCTGGGTGAGGCCCCTGTGGGGGGCCTTCTGACCCAAGGTCCAGGCCCTCCAGCCACTAAGAAGTCTCCTGACTGCTGGCCACACAGGACATAACATGGAAAGATGAGAGTACCAAAGGCAAGGGCTTCCTTGCAAGTCTGGCGTTCCTTCCCCTCAGACCAGGCCTTCTCAGATCCGATTTTAGCAGCAGAGTTCCCTCCCCCACCTCACATGCACTTTTAATAAGAAGCTTTGTAAGGAACCCTACATATCTGAAACATACCAGCTCTACTCTGTAGTGACTGTTGTGAGATAAGGGGCCTGGTTCTAGCTGCTGGGTCTACCCACCCCACTCCCCAGGCTCTCCACCGGGCTCTCCCTGGGGCTCTCCAAGGAAGCCCAAAGCTCCTCCAACAGACCACAGCACGGCGTGGTGTGCATTTGTACTGCTCACTCGCTGGCCTTCTTGGATTCTAACACCCATCTCAAGTGTGGTTAGATCTTAACTCCAAGCAGACAACAAGGTCTACTCCGGGCCAAGCTGTGAGTTCTAAAATTACCTGGTAGAGATCCCAAGAACAGTGTTCTGTTTTGCAGATGATGATGTTGAGACCCAGGCAAGCTGTGTGCCTGCCTGAGTTCCCACAGTCAGGAAGAGCGGCCTCCCCCAAGCCTGTGCCAATTGACTCCAGAACCCCCATCCCTGCCCTCGGGAGCCGCGCACACACATGCTCTCTCAGTCTCCACACCACTTCGTGTCATTTGCGTTCATGGGTTACCTGTCCCTAAGGGGCAGGTCATTTGACTCTCTCATGAACTTTCACAAACTAGACATGCCCAGGCCCCACCCCAGCTGTAAAGGGTCAGAAGCTGAGGCTGTGAGTCATTACATCAAAACAGGGTGAGCTGCTGTTACTCACAGCATAAGACACAGCAAGAAGGCGCAGGGGCATCTTGGACCTCAGTTTCCCCTCCCTCCTCCTCCAGCACTGATGACAAGGGACCCAATCCTCAACCCCGTCAATCCTGGGCAGAACTTACTGTGTAGAGCTCATTGGTCACCTTCAGGAGTTCCTCGTGCATCTGCAGGCCAATCTCCTTGCTCTGGAACATGGAAGAACAAATGTCAGAGGAGACGCACTATGCTGGTCGCATTTACCAATTTCTTTCCAACACAGAAAGGTCAGGACTGTTTGTGGTAGGGATGGGAAGGGGTACAGGAATCCCCATGAACCTCACTGACCTGGGCCTGAATTCTTCAGTTCATGTCCATGAAACGAATTCACAGAGAGGTTCCTTGCAAATGGGATTCCCTGGTCTTATAATTTGGAGACTCCAATCATTCCCTTCCTTAGTGACTCCCAGTGACATCAGCATATTAAAGATTCTGGAAAGCCCCACAGAAATCTTCCTTTAATGTTGGGTGTCCTGAACTGTGTGACCAGAGTTCCTTGGTCAATACTCATTACCATCTCATGACAGTGGGGCTTCCACAGAGCACAGTTTGAGAAACAATGACCTGGCATCTCAATCGCTCATCAGAGTAAATGGTAATTCTCGGGTCATCCAGGAAACACCCTCCACTAGTAAGTCAGTACCCTCCTGCTTCCCAAAGGCTCACTGGCACCCACTGAGGCATCCGTGTCCTGACTTTCAGGGCAGGAACCAGACACGGTACCCCTTGCTTTGACACCACATTTTAGTTCAGCCCTCCCTGTGCTGGTTCCCTGGCCCACCTAACCTCATCCCATCATGCCTGGATCCTGACCTGGTGGCAGGTCCACACTCTCAAGGGAACAGGAACAGTATGGATAAGCAGAAAGCCCCCAGAGCACAAGGCAAGAGTTCTAGGTTCTCAACTCTGCTGTGGGCCTGACTGGATGATTGGCCTTGGAAAGTCACTTGCCCTTTGAGCCTTACCGACCTCACCTATACAATAAAAACCTGAAACTGAACTAAAACTTCCTAATGCCTGGGCTGGGGGTGGCTGCTAGGTGCTACATGAGGAAAGAAGCAGGGGCTTCTGTGACTTCATGCATTTGCAGAAAGCTAGACAAACAAAGGCAGACAGATGTGCTCAGTGCAGAACTTTTCAGTGCCTTTAATATTCTTACATACATGGAATCAGGGGGCTGCTGTATGTATTACAATTTTGCTGACCACAATCCTTTTTCTGTGAGGTAACTTATATGACCATTCATAAAACAATGAGAAAAGTATCTCTAGGTTCCGACCAGCCTGAAGAGTTTAGGATTCTGTGTTCTTTCATGTATGATTATGTTTTAGGTAAATACTCTCTACTATGGTCTGAATGTTTGAGTCCCCCCCCCCAAAACCCACAGGTTGCAATTCTATATATTTTGCTCTGCCATCCTAAGGGCTGTATCTTCTTTTGTTCCTAAGATGCCTGCTGGTAGCAATTGGGGTTATATGCTTTGTATGCTAGCACTCAGCAGAAAAGTTAAAACTTTCCATTTGACCATATAATTCCCTTTTTCTATCCAGTTAACTCACATACTTACCCCTAGACTAACAACGTGTACCAGAATGAGTCACCTCAAGTTAGCATGGGGTCAGCTTCCCTTAAAGAGCTTGCCTGCAGTAATGAATTTCAAGGAAAATTCACAGCCCTCTTAGAAGTAGGAAGGGAATGAATGGATGGTGGGAAGGGAGCACCATGAGGACTCCCCATGTGATGATATTAGGAGGTGAGGCCTTTGGGAAATGATTAGGTCATAAGGGTGGATCCCTAAAAAATGGGATTAGTGCCCTTATAAAAAGGACCTCAGAGAGTTACCTTGCCCTTTCCACCATCTGAGGACACAGCACAAGATGCTCTCTATGAGCCAGAAGTTAGCCCCCTGAGACATCAAATCTGCCAGCACCTCAATCTTGGACTTCCCAGCCTCTAGGACTGGGAGGAGTACATTTTTGTTGTTTGTAAGAAGTCACCCAGTCTATGGAATTTTGATATAGGACCCCAAAAGGACGAAGACACTCTCCCTGGCTGTCCAGACCATCACATCAAGTTTCTGTGTTGAAGAAACATGGGTGTGCTGCTGTCTGCTCCCTGCCCAGTCAAGGCATCCAGCTCCCTTCCAGCTCCCTCAGCCTCATAGCTGAACCAGCTGCTGATGAGCAGAGACCAGCCTTCCTCCTGCCCCCAGGCAGGCCGGGAGCCCTCGTACCGACTGGTAGCTGAAGACGGCTCAGTATCATAATGATGTCTTCTCAGGATCCTTCTTCTTACCCTATAGCCCTTTCTCTCAGCTCCTGGGCCCAGATGGACAAGAATCACCCACCGAAGGTAGTCTTGGCTTCTGCTATACTGCTGAACAGACAGGAAAAAACTTGGGGGCCATTCCAGAGATGTGGTAGGCCTCCCTCCCATTCTGGGGACTAAAGGAGGAGGACTCAATCCTGAACCCCAGCAGACCCTGTGCAGAACTTCCTATGCACAGCTCACGGGGGCCTTCAGCAGCACCCTGGAATTTCTGGAGAGGTGCTCTAGAAACCACACCAGCTGTGGCCATCTCCCAGCCTCCACAATCCTTCCAAAGGAGCAGTGAGTGCTTCAGTTTCCCCGTGGTCCCTCCACCTGCCATTTGTCCCATCATCACTGACTCCAAATGCTCCGACATCTTCCAGTGGCTCCCTGGACCTCTCTCAGTCCTCGGACTTACCAATGTCTCTGACACCCAAGATGCTGTTTCTTATGTATTCATTTTTATGATCTAATTTTTAAAACAGGTAATAAATATGTGTTGTTAAAGAAATTCTAACAACCAGCAAGGTAAAATGGAAAGAATCAGTCTCCCAGGTTCCCAGAACCCCACTCAGAGGCACCTGCTATGAAAAATGTCTTCTGATACCTTCTGGAAATAGTCATGCGATGGCTATACCGGCACACACTTGGACATCATGTGTTCTCTGTCTTCACAGATGGGTGCACACCATACACACCTTTCCTTCCATCTTGCTTATTCCACGTAGTGAATGCCTGAGAGATTTTTCCATCCCAGGACGTGCTCTCCCATCCCCCCTGTTGCACAGGATCCCTTCCATACACCAGATGTATCAAAATTAACTTAACCAGGTCCTCAGGGATAGACATCTAGAATGCCTCTAGCCTCTTATTATTTCAAATGATGCAGTGAAAGGCCAGTCCCCTGTCACCATGTACACAGGCAGGGACCCTATCCTAGAAGGAGCTTGCTGGGCAAAGTCCTGCCTTCAGAATCCACCCCCAGCCAGGCCTTCCCAGCCCCTGCCCCTGCCCTGGCTGGATTCCCATACACTCCTGTCATCAGTTGCTACTTCCTGGTGACCTACAGCCATGTCACCATCTTTGCAGGCCTCTCTCTAGTATGACCCTGAACCCAAGTTCAAAGATCTGTAACTAGCTGTTGCAAATTTATGATCTAGATGTCCTCTCATCACCTCAACCTCGAATTATGCAAAGGTGAACTCCTGAACTTTCCTGCATCCCCTTGGTTTTGGTCAACAGGATAGTATCTCCCTGGGCTTGTCAGGTGGAAGCCTGGGAGTTGTCTTTGATGCTTTTTTTTTTAGACAGAGTCTCACTCTGCCACCCTGGGTAGAGTGCAGTGGCATCATACATGACATAAACCTCAGACTCCTGGGCTCAAAAGATCCTCCTGCCTCAGCCTCCTGAGTAGCTGGGACTTTAGGTGCCCACCACAATGCCTGGCTAGTTTTTCTATTTTTAGTAGAGATGGGGGTTTTGCTCTTGCTCAGGCTGGTCTCAAAGTCTTGAGCTCAAGTAACCCACCTGCCTCGGCCTCCCAGAGTGCTAGGATTATAAGTGTGAGACGCTGCACCCAGCCTCTTTGACACTTTTTAAATCCCTCCTCCTCAATCCAGTCTGCTGTTTCTTGCCTTCAAACTGCCCAATCTGTCGTTCTCTGTAGCAGGCAAGCTTGTCCCCCTCTTCCCACACACATCCATTCTTGGCCTTCCTACTTCCAAGAAAGCTATCAATGTGCCCTGGAATTCATTCCTTCAGGAGAGGTCTTCAAGGGAAGCTGACCTCATCCCAACTAGAGATAGCAGATTCTGTTACATGTTATTAGTTCAGGGGTGAGCGCGTGACATAACTGGATGGAAGAGGAGGATTTATAGGTGTGTGGTCAAGGGGAAAGTTTCAGCTTTTCTAGCGAGATTAGCAGGAAAAAAGCATGTGGCCCCAATCACTACCAGGAGATGTCTTAGGAGCAAAAGAAGGTGCAGCCTGAGGAAGGCAGAGCAAAATAAGCCTGGCTCCTTTAATGCTCTCTTGAGCACCTGACGGAGCTGAAAACCCAGAGTCTGCCTCCAGTGAACTTCAACTTCTCTGGCCTCATTAGGGTTTTCTGTTACTTCTAGCCAAAGCATTCTAAGGGATGCAGTCCCATTTTCCAGCACCAGTTCCTAGAGCAATTGCAACACCGCTGGAGACCCACATCACTTAAGCTGTCTCTTAACAAAGTCCCCGGTTCTTGTCTCTCTGAGGTTATAGTCGGTTCTGCACACCTGTCCCAGTGGAAATTTCTAGAAATGTATTTCATTGTGTCCCTCCAAAGCCTCCTCATTGCCTGCAAGGATCAAGTCCCACCTTCTTAGCTTGACTTTTAAAGTTCTCCATGATTACAGCAGGCCTAGTTAGACAGTAGACAAGGTGAATTTGGGGGCCAGAGAGACTGGGCTGGAGGAGGGGTTTTCAGTCATTTAACCCCCTGGCATCCTCATTGCCTGCAAGCCTCTTCACTGCCTGCAAGGATCAAGTCCCACCTTCTTAGCTTGACTTTTGAAGTTCTCCATGATTACAGGCAGGCCTAGTTAGACAGTAGACAAGGTGAATTTGGGGGCCAGAGAGACTGGGCTGGAGGGGGGGCTTTCAGTCATTTAACCCCCTGGCATCCCAGCTTCCCTGTCTGTACAGTGAGCACCTCATCATGTCTTCTCTGTGCTGGTAAATGAGCTTGCTTATTTACTCATTTATTCATTTGTCATTTTTCCCCCCTGCTTGAATGTCAGCCCCTTGAGGACAAAGAGACTTTCTCTCTGGTGGTAGAAGCTCAGACACCCAGATACTGGGAGTGCCG